ACATAGTTCATTTTAACCATGGTTTGTGGAACAAGCTGTAGTGGCCTGCTTTATATAATACTCAGCTATAAATCATGGTATGCAAGCCACAAGAGCTGAGTTCATATGTTGTGCTAGGTCAAAACCAACCCACTGATACAATGGCTTAATGTGTTGCATGAACCCAGTCACAAATTTTATTTATCAGAGTTTGTTACAAAAAAATCTTCCTTAAAAGGATTATAGCTTTTTTTCCCTTGCTTGCTTATATGGTTGTATAATAAAATAACTGTCTGCAACTGGTATAAGAAAATAACCTCTGCAAATGTTTGTAAATTACAGATGCCAGAAATAAGTTAATTCATTGTACAGTGTATATCATGGTTGCAGAATAATAAATGGTTAAATTAGAATAAGTCGAAACACACCTCATGCATTCCATAAATTACCATTCATGCCTTAGGAAGGAAGGAAGATTTTGTTACAGTAGTCAATGGAAAATGGAAGCAGCAGCTTTGAAATAAAGATAATGCGATGTTGAGATTTATAGCACTGATTAAACCCACCCCACCAGCTCTGAAAACAAGGTGTCAAAGTTATAGCAAACTAAAATATAATTTTCAGAGGAAGTATTTAAGTTACGTACAATATATTGTTTTCTAATGTGGAAGATTGGCATATTCTAAAATATGATTTACAGACCTTGCTTGAAGCAATCAGTGCTATAAATTGAATCTAATTCCAAATAGCTTTATTATTTTTTTCAGAAGAGCTTGGCTTAAAAGATGGGAGTTTCCACACAGCTAAAAATTGTGGTTCTTATTTTTTTAAATCATTTTTAAAAAAATATTATTCTGGCAGCCTGTGAATTGCAATATTTTGTGGATAAAGTTGGGAGGGGTGAAAGTTCAATAATAAACCATCTTATAATTTGGGGATGAGGGGAGAGAGAATAAAAGATGGAAAAGCCATATTTTTTTAGATGTTGGTGTGGCATTTACAGTCAATCATGGTTAATGGGGGTACTGACATGGGTTATTTTTCTTTAATTTGGTTCTCTATTCCACCCTACATGTTCAGAGAATGAGAGAAGTCTGGATTCTGTAAATCCACAACATATAAGTTTTCCAATGTATAACCAGAATTCTAATGATTCTGATTCTAGATTCTCACGAGCAGTGGCCTTTTCTGCATCTTCTTAGGTAAAACCCTAGGGTATGAGATTTTCTTGTGTTAGGGTTAACAAATGGCAGGGTCCCTAGGGCAAAAATCTTCAGTGTTGCTGTAAAAAAGAGCAAGTGCACGTATAATTTTGTTTAGTTAAACATGATACCGGTAGGATGATCCCTATCATGAAGTAAGAGTAATGTGAGCATCAAAGCATGAAAGCTTGTTACAGATCAAGAATAATTTCATGGAGTTATTAACTCAATTTAGAAACATATAATCAAAGGAATAGAATCATATATGAATTGTTTAACCACCAATTAGCATTTGGCTTGGTGGAACAGCAGATGTATAAAAAAACCGCAACTCTAGATGTAAGGTACAAATTCTTACTAGTTTGAATTCAGGTTTGTCAAAGTTGCAGTGTCCATCTTCTCTGACTTTACAGAAAGGGTCTCACTAGCAGGGGATAAAATTTTGAAAAGTAAAGAGGATGTATATAAAAGAAAATTCCTGACATCCCACATTACATTGGGATGTGAAAGAGCCAGTCTTTTGGGGTTTTGTATTTGATAAACATTTTTATATTAATCTTTTTGAGCAATGTTGACAGAAATATAGATAGATGCAAAAATAAGTGCAAAAATATTACTCATATTAACTGTTAAAAGATACTTTTAAAAGCTGAAGAGTGTCAGAGATTTGATCAAGTATCTACAAGTGAGACAGAAGACATTTCAGCTTGCTAAAAAGAGATCTTGTGGATAAAAATGGCTTAAAAGCAAATGTTTTTTCACGCATGCAAATATAATTTTTTTGTTAGCACAGTTGCAACTTACTTCAGATGTATTATGAATATCACTTAAGCCTGGTTATAAAAAGTCAGGAGCATATAGTAGCACCACAGAAAAAACAAAGGATCATTCTGTTGAACTCCAGGAATCAAGCCATACCAGGAGTGATATGGGAAAATTTTCTCTTCAAAGTAGCCAGAATTTCTCAGGTTTGCAATGCCATAACAGATAAATGGAATTTTGCTTGTTCAAATCTCCCTTTTAATCTAATCAAGAAATTGCATCCAATTATAAGCAAAGCTGGGTTTATAATGCAAATTAAGAAACTGGACCTGAATGAAGTGCAAAGTGCTGGTGCAAAATAGTTTCCTACGAATGAAATACCTAATTGTTTTCTTTTGCTGAGTCTCTAGGTAGCTATCACATGACTTGGTTGCCTAGGCAAGAAACAAATTATTGCACATCAGGGATTAAATTGCAGAAATGCTTAAGTATTATATTAATAGTTAATTATTAATCATTAATAATGTTACCAACAATGGAGGCATTAATATGAAGGAAAACCTTGACTACTAAGAAAAAAATAGAGAATACAATTGTTACTGTATTTTGCAATTGCAAATGAAAAGCATGTTCACATAAATGGGCAATGCTTATACACTAGCATTCTGTATCTTTCTTTTTAGAAATTCAGAAACTGTGGTAGTTACCCTGGATAAAGAAGGTGGGATAATTGTTAAGGTTCCATTTTGTACTGTGAAATGGAAAGACTGTGGATAGTTAAATTTGTTGGTTACCACAGCAGAATCCAGAGCATTAGAATTCATTCAGGAATCAAGTGCTGAGCATGATTGGACCTGAACCTCTCCCTGTTATATTGTAGGCAAGCCATGGACATAAAACAAATGTAGGGCTTTAATTACAAGGCCATATTGACTTTTTTTACCACTCCCCACGAATATCCCTGATTGTAAGTAAAGTGTGGCTTTAAGAACCAGAATTTCCCTGAGTTATGAAACATCCAAAAATGTTTTCCCAAATCCCACCCACAGGACTTTTTTTTTCTGTGTAAAGATCAGAAATCTCTTAATTGCAAACTTAACAATTGCTTCTTATTTTAATTTGAGGGCTTCCTTCTCAGCATGGTTTGAAATGAAACCCATGACTTATTTTCAATTACTATTTCAGAAATTGTCCCCATATAAAGGAACCTATTACATTAGTGGTCAGTACTTCACTTCTTCAAAGTGAAAGAGAAATATAATGTGACGCTAAGCACAAGCATATCGGTTTTTAGTGACTAAGAAAATCCTAAAAGGTGCTTCAGTGTGGATTGCCCATGAAAAAAATTGCACCAACATGTGATAGCCACTTCTTCTCCATAAGGACATCTGTGTAAAATTTTTACATCTGTGTAAAATTTCTCTTTTCTTCCTGTTAATGCACGCAGGGACGATGTGCCAGACCTGATTTGAAAAGGAGATGTTAGACGTGTGCTTTCCTTATATCTATCTTGTGTCTTTCTGAGTTAAATTATACTACCTGTAGAGTTCACCAAGATGAATGTGATGTGAGAGTTACATCCAAATCTCTGCTCTCACCAGGGCCAATTATTTAATACATTGGAACAAAAAGAAGAAACACAGCTCTGTCTGATCTTTTCATATTTCTACAGAGAATAACGCTAGCTTGAAAAGACTATCAGATATTAAATTGGCATCACTTTGCAGAATTTGTTGTTCTACAACATTGTGGCAAAGAAATAATCACATGTTGAGTGCCATAGCAAATAAAAATATTCTAGAGAAGTGAATTGATATTTGCCCAAACTAATTATGCTTAATATAATTAAGATTCAACATATTGGGTTGGAAGATATCTAATACTTACAGGAAAATATCTTAGCCCTGATTAAATAACTAACTGATGTTGTACTCATGCTAAATATAACTCATTTCTTCTTAGGAAAAGGAATGACAAAAGAGAATTTACTAGCAGATGATATCTTCTCTAAAAGAAGCACTCTCAAATCTCAACAAAGAGGCAGTAAGATATGATTGGGGTGTATGCTAAGCTATTGGCATTGAGTTAGTTTTAGTATGATAAACTACTGCATTAAGATTCCTGTGATTTTTTTTATGCTTCTGGATCCATACAAATATGATTATTTCCTGCTTACACATTTATTAAGATTCTTCTAACTGTTGAATATCTTCCCAAATAAGTATGCATACTTTCTGGCATGGATTGTTAGCTGTGCAAACGTGTCATTTGTTTAATTCCAGTGTCCAAATTTGCCTACTGGAAGAACATTCCACTGGGATTACAAGGAAATGAACCCCCAATCATAAATTTATCCAATTCAGTTGTGTAAAAACTGTTCTCTGCCTTCTGATCTCAAAAAGGTTGACTGTTTATAGAACTAGAATGGAGAGATGATGAATTTATCATTGAAAATACTTTGTTATTTTGCATGTATTGGCATTCACTGGAGTTCTGAACTAGAATTTTTTTAGGTAGATCACTTATTTTAAGACTGCTTGGAGAAAAGGGAATTGAAGAAAACCATATGCAAAGTAAAAGCACATGAAAAGTATTTAAGAACGAATGTCTTACATTTTGTGTTCACTGTATTCAGTATACACCAGGGTGCAGGTTCATGTGTTTAGCAGGAGGGAGATTCTGCATGATGGCCACTATAATTAATGCTAAATATTTAGTCCCTGAAGCAAATCAGCTATATTGTGCCTTTAAACATCTTTCTTCTTTAAATGCCTATATTTTCTCTATTTTGAACAGAAGGAAGAAATACCAAATATTTCTCTTACAACCAAATATTTCTCTTACACCCAAACAAATAATAAAATAAAATGAATTATTTGGCCAAGAAACTAAAAGAGCAAAGACTTCACAAGACCATTGCTAAGTTTCAGTTAACAGCATTAAGTAAGTGCATTTTTATGCTAAATAAAAACAGTGGAAAATCTTGGATCTTGATATCTGCTTTACCAAAAGACAACTTCAGGGACTTATTCAAGATGGACCTGGAGGGTTTCCATCTTATTTTTCATGTTTCCAAAGTTCTTCTTCGACAGCATTGAAGTCTGCAGATTTGCCATTGGTTGCCAAGGTTACCTGAAAGTAATTACCATCAACACCTAGCTTAATATCAAGGCACTTTTACAGGAAACATAATAAATTATGCAAATTTGTTACAAAACTGACTGAGTATATTTGTACTTTAAATTTTTTTGTAGTGATTCAGTTCTTTCATTATTTCAATTTTTTACAAAAATAATCTATTGAAAATATTCAAATTTACAGCACAAAATACAACACAGAGAAATACTGATAGCAGACTGATAAGCTATTTTTTTTGTATGCAGACTATAAAAAAATAGCAAAACAGTAAATGGAAGAATTAATTTGCCACAAGACAGTGACATCTTTCATGACTGGTGCATGTTAAAGGTACAGTTACAGTCAAGTCAAACAAGTATTAACAAGATTGCATTTAATTTATTTCTGTTACATTTTTAAATTTGAATAAAAATGATGGGAAGCCCAGAATGATGAAAACATTCTAGGGGAAACACTGATTAGTAAGCAGTAGCCAGATAGTTAATTGAAAAAATGCTTCCTGGCCATTGATATCTTTTTACAGTTGTAATATCATAAACACAGCCAAAAACCCCAAAAGAGGTAATGTACTTATTGGACTGATTAGAACTGAACAGGACCTTTACATCATCATTGTCTTTTATGTACTTGTACTTCCAACCTTACCTTCTATATTCTGGTCCTCAGCTTCAAAAAAAGAACCTTACAAGACAAGATTAATATTCCACATGATGGACAAATTAGATGCATAAAAGTATTGGACATGAAAACATGAGGAATGCATTCACATTTGAAACAATTTCATTACAAAGAGGAAAATACATGCATTATAAAAACAATAAAGTTCACTTCATATTTGAAGTTGAAATTGTAGCTAAGGTCAGAAAGAAATATAAAATGTGACAATAAAAATACAAGGAAAAAACTCATGCAATTCATAAACCAATATTGCTTGCCAGTAAATTTATATTAGTCATGCAGCATTAGGAAACCAGTTAAATATTAAAAAGTCATGACTACAAATAATTGTATTAGTAACTAAGTCAAGCACCAATAACAAAAACTACTGACCAAATAATAAACTTGGATCCTGTTATGAATTTTCATATTCACACATTCATTTTAGTGCTATTTCCTAACTTTTATCGGGGATGGTACAGTTAAACATTTATTTGCATACAAATAAACAGCATATTTGTATCCCATTCAATTCAGCATGAACATCTTAAATGTGTGCTCCACCATCTGAATGACTAAAAGTTAAAAGTGATTAATTTTAGTTTAGTGTTCCTTTATATCCATAACCAATAATATTTTATAGAAGTAGTTTAATGCCTATATCCGAGAAAGTTCTTCTTAAACTGAAAACATAATCGTAGCACTGTCATTATTTTTCTGTCATGGAAACTGACATATGGATAAAATCTTCTGATCACAATACATTTTTGGATTGAAAATGTTTTTGGATTGAAACATAATTTTATTGTGTTTAAATGATGAAGTTTTAGAAACGTAATATGACACAAAGCCTTCTGCAGCCATTCCCTCCTACTCAGCTTTGAAACTGAAAACTAACCCTTGTGGATAAAAAACGTAATGATTATGTAATTAAAATCATGGTTATATTTCAGCTTGGATGCAAAGCCTGCATTGGGTCATCACAAACTATGTGAGTTACATAGAATATTTGTTTCCAACATTAGAGTACAAGTATGAAAACACATAGTTTGTATTGTGGTTTCATAATGCACATTTTGTCATTTTCACATCATTTCAGTTAGCAGTGGACACCTATGGCTGATAAGATATTAATAACAGAATCAGGCATTATCAGCATAAATATATAAAGATGGAGCTGTAGATCTGCTAAAGAAAACACTGAATTCAGTTCTCCAGTCAAACCTTGTGTTGTTAGTAGGGACAACTGTACTTTATTGTGCTTTGAACAAGCTAAGGAAATCAATAATTTGTGCACTGAATTCACTTTTTCTTCTCACTGTGACTGGAAGCATTCTCTTCCATTTTTGACTGATCACAATTTATTGTTCATCTGAACCCTCAATAGTAACTAATCCTAATTACTTGGGATTGACAAAAAGACAGTTGCCAATCTATGTTTTTAAATTAGCTTGTTGCAAACAAAATTTAGTTCATATACTCTAATATTTTACCAGATTCAATTGCCACCACAAATTGTGATTAATAAAATAAGATAAAGGAATTATTCAAATAATCTTTGTGAATCTCTATGGTTTCCTGAAACTCAGTTCAATCTTGGTCAGGAGGATTCTTGTTATAGCTTTCTCTTAACTCATGTTATTACTGACAGGATCAAACATTAACCACAAAATCGACATGGTAATGATGACCAAAAATAACTCTGAAAGCAAGAACAAACATGCCTGGATTAGTGAGCTTCCACATATTAAGAAGTCCAATGCATGTGCCTGTATGATGTAATATGGAAAGCACCAGACTTATTAGGTTAAGATGGATATAAATTCTATAAATAAATAAATTTTGAAGAAGAAAAACAAAGATTTTTGGAACCCATCATAATTTGCAACAAATTCATTATTTCATATCAATTAAATCAAAGTGTTTTTTAAAATCAAATTAATATTGAAATTTTATATTGAAATATAAAATGAAGCCATATTCTTTCAGCATGGTGCTGCTTTCCATAACACATAGTGAAACATGCTCTTGGTTGCAAACATTACATGCATCTTTCAGTTTAAACAAAATTGCAATAAATTAAACAAAATTAAAAGCAAATATACACATATACAACATTTTTAATGGGTAGCAGTTGTCTTCCTTATTACATTTTTTAAAGAAAGATAATTTGTTATTTTTTTTAAAAAAAGTTTGTACTGTGACTTGCTAGATGCAAGTCTCAATATCCATAAATGTGAAAGGTACCTTGCATTCATCTATTATGACAGAGTTGTGAGCTGTATAAACGCATTGATTCGAGTTGTTTTCCCTGTGATTTTTCAGATCATCATAAATTGACTGAGTCTTGGTCATTTCAATATCTTCATGTATCTTGTGATGAGCATCAATGTTTTCCAATTCTGCCTTGGACAGATGATAAACAATGCCAGCTCCAAAGGAGTCTCCTACTACATTGACAGATGTTCTCATTCGATCTCTACAAAGAAAACAATACCAAAGAAAACTTGAAGCACAAGAATCCATTTACAGGAGACTTCAGCAATCTTCCAAGTGTGATGGTAGTCAGAGCCAATCTTGACCAATAGCCAAGCTCTGACTTTGTTGCAATCCAATGCTTCTTTAGTATATTAGGCCGGTTTGCAGTGTGAATCCCCAATGTAAAAATGTTTACATGACAAAAGGAAATGAGCAATATAAAGTAGAGTCCTATATTTTCTCAAACAGCATCCCAGAAGTTGCAGTTAGTAATTATTTAATTAAAAAATTCCTTCATTTCAATTACTCCCCTTTTGGAAAACAATACATTTTTATCTCTCTTGAATTTGGTTAATGTTAATGGTGAAACCTCTGATTAAGAAGGTAATGTATTAATAGGTTCATCTTAAAAGGAATGAATTATTAGACGGCCAAGAAGAGCTCTTAAAAAGCCTTAAGTATTTATATATTTGCATTTATACTTTCCAAAACCTCTATAAAATGATATATTCTGCTGTAACGTTTACTTTGACATCAATCACTGTGAGATTCATTAAAATGTGTACATTAAAATGCCATTTTACCAGGTATTCTCACAAATTTAGATTTTATGTGGCAATAAATGGAAAAACAAAACAGATGTCCATACTAAATATGAGGCATTTTTTCAGGCATTTCAGAAGCAAAAACCGAACAATTAAGACTGTACAAGACTATTCTTATTTTCCTGTTTGTCAAAATATAAAGTCCTGGCAGTACTCTTATGATGTTTGCTTTGCTTTGTCAATTTCCCCTTTGTAAAATTCAGTTCTTGGCCACTACTAAGGTAATGGATTAATTCTTCTGTGAAAAAATAGCACTATTTTGTAAAGGCTGCATTTTAAAATAGGAACTGTGCAAAATCTAAGAATTAAGCATGAAGTCTCCAGTGCTATATATCACATTATATTTAGGTGTATAATTCATACTAGACTGATAACATTCACTAATCAATTTTAATTAGCTCATGATAATTGGTCAAAGGCTTTTGTTTGCTGGTACTAAAAAGTTGGATATCGGATAGAGATTGTTCACTTCATAAATATAAATATCAGGTAATTCAAACCAACTAGGAAAAAAACCCTTCAGTCAGGTTTTATGCTGCTGTTTTTTTAAAGTGAGGAAATCAGTAGCTTCATTTGTAGCACTCAGGTTACAAGTACAAACATGGCTTTTTCATGTGAGATTCATTGAAATATGAAATTGTCCCTCCTAGTAAAAAGGAATTTAAAAAACAATGTGCCATCTCTGAATGTAAAGTCAGTCTAAAAAGGTATATAAATCATCTTGAAGTTTCTCTCAATAACAGATCAGCCCTCCTGTCACTGAAGCCTTTAAGTCTGTTCAAGATCCTAAGCTCTACCTGACCTTTTCTATAAAGATGACATCACAGAATTGCTTTAGGGGATATTTAGGTTAAACCACAGCATTACCCAACATTTGAGAAAGATCAGGCATCACAATGTAAACTCCTGTCTTTCCTGCCCACTGTGCTTGATCGGCTCCATTGGTGAATTATGGCTATGAAGTCTCTCCATTTAGGAGAGGCAGGATTGTTTTGACAAGTGACATTGCTTCAAATGACATTTCCTTGAACAAGAAAGCAAACAATCACCAACATCAGTTTAACATCCTTTCACTGCCTGTCAGGCTTTGTTCTTTTCTGCTTCAATATAAACATGCCCCTAAAATATAAACCCAGTACCTGTTTATTGATATAGCTACCTATCTACATCAAGTGCAATTTTTCCTTGGGCTGCTTTCTATTAACTATTGCCTGTACTGTTTCCTATCTACAGCAAATATTTTACTTAACTTCATTTATTTATATCTTTATTATTTTTATAAATAACTCAAAGCAAGAAGCATACCTATTTCTTTCCTCCCCTCAACCCTTCCTATTTTCTCCACAGCAACAACCCTGTGAGGTGGATTGAGCTAAGAAAGAATGCCTGGCCTGAAATCATCCAGCTGGCTTTTATACAAAAGAGCAGGACTATTTTCTTACCTTTTAATAGAAGATAGGAATGAGGCTGAAATTTGATATAAACTAGTTGTTAGAGCATCTTTTTCCTATAGCATTACAGGTAGTTCTTGTTTAATGACTGCAACTGGAACCAGCAACTTGGTTGTTAAAGAAACCCAAGTGACTGTGAATTGCTTACAATTTTATTTCATATGTTTCCTTTGCTTTTAAACTAAGAACAATACATCTCTAAACAGCCCGGTGAAACCAAACAACGGAGAAGGTTTCTGAAACTCAACTCATACCAAGTTGAGTAAAAAGGACACATTTTATAGCTATTTCTCCCCACTTCCCTGATCTTTGGAATGTTCACTCCAGCACTGATTAGCAGGAAAAGAATTGATGTTTGTATTAGATTCATTGGAGAGAAAAGCGTGAAAAGAGATTAAGCAGGCATATAATGGGAAATGTACACTGAAAGAAATGTGTTATTGCTGGCTGTTTGCCTAGCATGCTGCGTTTATGAGTCAGGCCCTGCTTAGGTAGCAAAAGAGCTTCACTGTTCACTAGGATCTTGTCAGAGTCATGCAGCAGCCCACAATGGCTGGTCCTCAAACTGTCACAGCATCCCTGAAGCCACATGATTTCAATTCTAGAGGGCCAGAGGTTCTAATCAACGAATTAAGGTCACAGAGCTGAGCTTGTTAACTTGTGGGTAGCACTTTGGGGGATCGGTTTCAGGGGGAGAAAAGCCAGCTCATGAAGTGATAGCTTATTTAGGCAATCTCTCCACTGTATGAGGGGTGGGGAAATTTTAAACAGGTCAAGCTCACAAAAAAGTGTACTGGCATGTGACTGAGACAGAGTTACTGCAAAGGTCATAAATGAGCACATTCATCACAAAATTACTTTTTCATCATCATCATAACTGCAAACAGATGATGTCCAAGGCAATTGCTAAACAATGACCTTCTATATATGAGCCTACAGGACTTTTTGTGATAGAGCTCATCCTACTTTCTTAACGTTTAATATCTAGGGTATGGAATGTTTTTTTCTTCTTTTCCTCCCAGGAGAACTGCACAACATCAATACTAACGTCTTCTTGGTGTCAGATGAGTATCTCACATGCTCAACTGCAATAGATTGTTAATCAAATGACTGTTTTATCGTTCCACTGGCAGATATTATTCTGTTATCTCTTGCTGCCTCTGCAGTTTTAACATTTTAGCACTGTGTTTTAATTATCAGCTTGTCTTGTTTATTGCTACAATACGTAAGTCACTTTCAGCATTTTTAAATGGTGCATATGTTGGGGGGAGAAGAAATATGCCAAGATCAAATCCTTCAGGACCACTAAATATATGGTAAGTGTCCATAGAAGTTTCTAATCAGAAGTTGATGAGATTAGAAGCTTGCTCAAAAAGTGAACAGAGAATGCTGCATCATTGTCCTGTCTTTTGGAAAAAAAAACACCTTTGTAAGGCAAAAATGGAGATGATCCAGTGATAGGACAGTGTTGTGTCAACAACTGAAGAAGGTCTACAAACATAAGTGTAGTTTTAGGGTTTCTACATATTACAGCTCAGGGCCAGGATTGAATATTTGTCCATCTACTATTCTAGGATTAAAAAAAGGAATGGCTCCCCCATCACAAATGTGTACTATTACATGTAATCCTTGGTTAATGACCTTTTATTTGGCAACTGTTTGAAGTTATGAAGACACTGAATGAGGAGATTTAATGGCCAGTCATCTAAATTCCAAGCTGTTGTCGCATTCCTACTGTCACGGGATTGCAATTCAGGTGCTTTGCAACCACTTTGCAATTATGACAGTGAACTTGACAGTCAGCATCAAACTACGTCAATGGAAAAACGATCAGGATACAAATGACAATCACACAATGTCACACCTAATGACCATGTAGTATTTGCCTGCAATTGGAAATGCTGTTGTAAATCGGCACAAGAGTTAGATCCTGATCAGATCAAGGTTGACTCATTCTTCAAGCTTTCTGAAGTTGGTAAAATGAGGATCCAGATTGTTGCGGGCAATATGCTGCCTCTGTAAACTCAAACGGTGCTGTAAAGCAGCATCTCTCCAACCTTTTAAACACCAGGGATCAGTTTCATGGAGAGAAGGGGGTGTGGTTTAACATGCTGCCTGCATCCCCATAGATGTGCCTTCGCTTGTTTGCATGGCCGTTTCTGGCATGTCGCAGCCTGGTGTCAGTCAATGGACTGGGATTGGGGACCCCAGAGGTAAAGCATTATGGAGTAGTATATAATGAAAGTCTAAGTGCTATTGCTATAAGACATTATATTATTATAATAACAATGAGTAGTAGTAATAGTACACAATGTGTACATATTACCTACAGTTGAATGTGAGAAACAATTCATATATATGACATTAATCCCTTTATATTGTAAACATTTGCTTTTTCTTTGAGTGCTGAAAATCAGTTCTGTGAAGTGTTTTGACCTAAGGCACAGTGTATGGCTCTTCCAAAGCCATGCAGGATATTCCATGGTCAGCGAGATCTTGACCATGGATATCTCTATTATCAGACTGAGATCTTAATCACTAGTTTGCAGTGTATCACGAGGAGGTGACTGAAAGGTGGCAGAAGTTAATATCCTATCAGCCGGATGATCAATCCCTATTTTGACATCTATCATAAAAACAGTCTTACTTACAAGAACCAATCTACCGCCACAAGTAAGCTTATATCCTGAGTGGGAAGTCCTACTGCAGTGAGGATAAGAAGCATGGTCACCAGTCCTGCACTAGGTATACTTGCAGCTCCAACACTGGCAAGAGTGGCTGTCAAACTGTAAAATAAAACAGGTCAGCTTATTTTAATTGTGAAAACATGGACTCTGGTTGTTATTCCAAATGTAAATCACTTCACAATATTTAAGGTCGGGATATCATTTTTTTAACCAACCCCAATAGATTACCTGACAGTGACTATCTGTCCGCCATCCAACACAATGCCATTCATCTGTGCTATGAAGATGGCAGCTACTGCTTCATAAAGGGCAGTTCCATCCATATTAATAGTAGCTCCAACAGGTAAGACAAACCTTGTCACACGCTTATCAATGCCCAAATTTTCTTCAAGGCAGCGAAAAGTAACAGGCAATGTACCAGCACTGAAGGACCAAGAAAAATGAATTATTTTACTTTGTTATTTTATTCTGAGCAATATGTAAAAAACAGTAAACAAAATACAAAAAAAATGCATACAACTGAACCAATAAGCAATTAATCTTTTTATCTTCACCAAATGGGAGCACTGTTCTTCATGATCCAACCATCTAAGGAAAGAGCCAACTATTAATTATCTTTCTGAAGACTTGCAGGGTTGGAGCCAATGATATGTCAGCAAGGAGACATTATTCCAAAGGGCACCAGAGAAGGCATGCTTCCTGGATTCCACAAGATAACTGATGAAGTGTGACATATTTGAGGACTGCTCATAACTATCTGTATTATTGTATTCTGTCATCTTTGGATTAAGGGCTGTCCCATGTAGAGTATAGTGCAATAATTCAACCAAGAGGTGACCAAGGGGAGTAGGACTGAAAGGACAATATAAGAATATAATATAGTAACAGTCACAAGTTGGCATCCAAGATTAAGTTATTCAAAAGCCCAATGGCCACAACTGCTATCTGTTCAACAAGGAGGACCCCCGAATTGCACACTGAATCTAAGCGGAACAGTGATTCATCCAGAATCAATAATGAAGCATCTCAGGTTCCAGGTCCATGGGCTCAAAACTTGATCTTGGTATGACTGAGCAGAAGCTTGTTCTTCTTCATCTGGACCCCATAGCTTCTAGATACTAGGACAGAACCTTGATAGTTTTACTTGGTTGGCCATGGGTCAATATACAACTGATATATACAATTGAGAATCAGCAGCATACTGATGATACTGCACCAAATGTATCTTCATGTACAGTAATTTTTAAAAAAATTAATTCTCATTCCATGGTATTATCTGACAATGCATTATCAGCCAGGGCTCTCCCAATGCACAAGTGAACTCTTTTCATCTACTCTAGAAACTTACACATTTTGGGTGAAGCTTTTCAATAATGGGACAAACGTTGGCTATTAAGGTTTCATAATTCAAGGTGGAATTATTCCCACAACTTGACTGGTTCCCAGGGTATTCAAACAATTCAGCCTCAGGTACCAGCAATGAATATTCTTTCTCTAAGTATAGAGTTCAACTGAGCAAAACATAAACAGATCTGGCTAGATGATTATGTATTATCCTTAAAATGTGGCTATTATTAAACAAACAGGTTCCTCACTTCTTAATGATTAAATGAAAATGTCCATATGTCCATAATATCCATCCAAAAATGTTCAGGTCCAATTCTGCTTAGCTTTTTTATGAACAGTTAACCTCAGCTAAGATAGAGACTTGCAAAACTTTTGAAGTTTTGTTGATACAAGTGAAGTTCCTCTCTTTGTAATATAGAGGCAACTATGTCTTCCAGAAAGCTTGGTGTGTTTTTCCCAGCTTGTCTGTGCATATATGTGCATGTACCTGGAGCCCTAGTGAAGTGGATATGAAGACATACACATGTTATGAAAGCGAACTTCAGAAAGTTCCTTTGGGACATTGGGTGCTTCAACATTTCAAAGAGAGGCACTTCACTCATGCCAAAATCTTTTGTGAAGCACTTGTGAAGCAATCCTTCAAATGCCTCCACATTCCAGTTTAAGTTGTAATTTTGTAATAAGCAAAAATGCCAATCAAGGGGCGGGGTTGATAGCAGCTACATCCAGTATTTAGTGTTCAGTTTATTTGGCAGCATTTCAACATGGACAAATCATAATGGATTTTGGTATCCAGGTTTTCCTCCAGTTACCCATATATTCTTTTTACAGTGGAAACAAAGTAAGAAGTAACATGCTGACAATTAGCTTCACTTAATGTTAATGGAGACTCTCAGGCATCCAGGTCATGGTTGTCCAAAGGTGCTTTTTTTTTTTCAGGAAGCAACTGGACTTTCTGGTTTTTCTTTGAAGACTTTTCGCTTCTCATTCAGAGCTGAGGAAGCTTCTTGGATGAGAAGTGAAACATCTTCAAAGAAAAACCAGAAAGTCTAGTTACCTCTTGAAAAAAAAGCATCTTCGGGACAATTAGCTTCACTTCTAAAACGAGAACAGTTATAAACAGATTCGTCAATCTAATATTTATCCCATAGGCATTCCTTCCTCCATGTTGTGTATCTCTTCTGATTATATTGGAAAGGGAAAAATACACAGTGCACATTATGGAGATTCAAATAACTCGTAAACTTGCTCACAACCAAGGAATGTTTACCCCCCCCCCCACTGCCTAAAAGAAATACTTTGCTTTGATAATAACAGTATTTTCCAATGATGTAGCTAAAGAAGATAGAAAAACATCTTATTACTCACACTCAATTGGACAAATGTTTACATATTTAGGACAACAGATGAACCAAAACATAGTTCTGATTCAATATTCATAGCTTTTAAATTGGTTCATGAAGTTTACTTATTTTAAAAATTAGGGAAAGTCTACATAGATGCATGTTTGTTATACATAAAAGAACTTGAAAATAACATAAATGTGTTTTCATTATATTTTGAAGAAATATTCACTTAACTGTCCACCTTCTGAAAATTTTTTTCCAGTCTGATGAACCAAGCCTGGCAGATTTGCAGAAATGAAGAACTCAGAGAAATCAAAACAGTCATATTTCCTATCTCTAATTGTAGCTACCTAAGTAATTATACATGAGACAGAATAGAAAATAGGGCTTAGTGTAAGGCAGGGGTGTCAAACTCAAGGCCTATGGACTGGATCCAGCCCACGGGGTATTTAAATCTGGCCCACATAGCTGGCCTAGAAATATCAAAGGACCGACCTGCGGTGCCTGTATCAAACAAAACAGGCCATGCAAGGCCTCTGCATGGCCTGTTTTTGTCTGGAAGAGTGCTGCTGGAGGCCAGCGTGGATGAAGATGGGCTGCATAGGGGCCTCATGGGGCCTCCAGGAGGCCCATTTTCGGCCAGGAGAACACTGCATGAGGCCAGGGAGGCTGAAAACGAGGAACGAGGGGACACATTCAGACTCCTTCCCCCTGCCAGCCCACGGAGGAGAACTACAATGCTGATCCAGCCTTCAAATAAATCCAGCTGGACACCCCTGATGTAAGGGAAAACAGAGAATACAGAATAGAGTTGAAAGGGACATTAGAGGTCTTCTAATCCAATACCCTGGTCAAGCAGAACATATACCATTCCAGACAAATGGCCATCCAATCTCTTCTTAAAAAGCTCCAGCAATGGAGCACTTATAACTTCTGAAGCAAGCCGTTCTTGTTTTCACTGACAGGGAATTTCTTCTTATTTCTAGGTTGGATCTTTGTTTGATAATTCCATCTGTTACTTCTTATCCTGCTCTCAAGTGCTTTGGAGAATAGATCAGACCCCTCTTCTCTGTGACAGTTACTCAAATATTGGAAGGCAACTATTACGTCACCCCCAGTCCTTGTCTTCATTAGATTAGCCATACCCAGTTAGAACAGAGTAGAACAGACTAGAATTAGAATTAGAATAGAATAGGCTACAATTAGTCACAAAGGACAGAAATATTGCACCAAGAACAAAGATAGGGGCCAAGTATTATTTTCTGGAGCCAGTACAAACTAGTAGCTGCTATCTATATACCCACTGTAGAGACAGTATAATGAGTCATTAAATAGTTTGTTTTATTTCTGCATTTCTAATTTTGTCCCCATATACCACTTTCTAGGCATGCTGCAAGTTAATACAACGCTCAGGCCAAAGGAGAGACTTGCAAAGATGATTGGCTCTTTTATGTTCTTGAACTGATACAAATAGGTATGTTCTGCACTACTTTGATGTTGTTGACCCTGTTGTCATTATTCTGCACATTTGTTTGTTTGTTTGTTTGCACAGTTTTTGTATCACCCAGTCAATGAACTCTGAACACTTAAAAATAAAACATAACAATGTAAAAGTCCAGCCACCATCAACTCAAAAGAAGAGTTTTCAGAGCAATCTAGATCAAAGTACAACAGGTCCAACACTTTTTACACTAACAAAGCTTTCTGATAGCCTTGGTCTGCAATTGTGCAGTTGGCAAAAAATAGCCTTGGAAAAAAATGATTCAGGACACAATTCTTTATCATGATATTGAATTTCCCACCCATTTTGGTTAAAAGGTAGTCCCATGAAAGGAGAGATACATCTCTAGCAAACATTATCATTTCTATTAAATACCTTGAAGCTGTGCCTAGAGCAGTAATCCATGCTTGAAAGATCCCAGCAAAAAATGAGAAGGGATTTTTTCTAGTAATTACAAAATACAACAGAGGCAAAAAAATCCCTCCATGGATGAGAAGACCTACAATCACGGTTACCATGTACATGCCAAGCTGTCGAGCAACTACTTCCAAATCCTTAATTGCAATTATTTTTCCACAAATGAGGCAGGCAATGCCCAATGGAGAATACCTAGAAAAAATAAATAAAAAACGTGGAAAAGAATTACAGGTATCAAGCTGGTAATAATCAAAATGCACTAAAAGCAGAACCCAGGAAATTTTCCCTCTTACAATTAGAATTTTATTTCACTTTCAGAAATCTTGAACTTACACATTCTATTTCAATGTTGTTTAGAAATTTGCTAAGGGTAAAGTCTAATAATACAATTTTGCCTAGTATAATGCTGCTAATGAGAAAATTACACTCAAAATTTTCAATCTACTTATGCGTTTATACATTCTTTTTGCTATTGTTGGCTTGCTCCTTGCCCACTTGCATTCTTCTACTACCGTGTTTCTCCAACAATACGCCCCCCCCATAGGGAGTCCCAGCATGTTTTCTAGGCATAAGGTGAAATTAAGCCCTTCCCCCCAAATTTAGGCCTATTTTAAAACATGTGAAATGGGGGGGAGGGGGGGGAACTTGCCATTAGGAGCTCTTCACAGGCAGCCACACGTCACCACCAGCTGCTCCTAATGGCCGATCATGGCGGAGCGTGGAGAGCTCCCTACCACCGCCAAGTGCCTGTGCTGTAGACCCAGGTATGGTGCTGGTTGCAGGCCGGGTCAGCGGGCAGGCGGTGGTGGCATGGATATCAGTCTCAGAAGGGCACTTCACATCGTGAGACCTTTGGCACCCGCCACTGCTGCTTACTCTGCCGTTGCTTCCCTTTCTGCCTGTGCCACTGCCGCATTTGGAGTGCTGCGCATTTCTCCACCAGCAGTGTTTCAGCTGCTTCTCGGACGGGGAAACCACCTCTGTAGCTTCCACAGTTCCCACCAGCACTGGTGCCTCTCTCGCCAGCGCCATCTTCAACAACAGCGCCAGTGCAGGCGGAAACCATGGAAGCTACGGAGGCAACTACCCCATCCAAGAAGCAGCTGAAATGCTGCCAGTGGAGGAATGTGCAGCACTCCAAATGTGGCAGCAGCACAGGCAGAAGGGAAAGCAACGGTGGCAGAGGATGCAGCAGCAGCGGGCGCTAAAGGTCTCACGATGTAAAGTGCCATGCCGAAGCTGACATCCACGCCGCCACTGCCCACCTGCCTGCTGACCTGGCCTGCAACCAGCACCATACCTGGGTCTGCAGCAAAGGCTCTTGGCAGGGATAGGGAGCCCTCTGCGCTCCGCCATGATCCGCCATTAGGAGCGGCTGGTGGTGAGGCCTGCCCACGGGGCACTCTAGGCGAGGGTGTATGGGGGGAGAAATTAATTCACCCCCGAAAAGACAGCCTAGCCATTTTTTCGGGGCTCAAAAAAAGAAGAAGACCTGGCCTTATTTTATGAGAAACACGGTAGTATTAGTAGGGGAATATTCAATCAGATCTTTATAACTAATAATGGAAGAATAGCCATGATAGTTTTTGATGGCAATAAAACAGTGTGTCATTTAAAGACTAATGCTTTTATTACAACTTAAGCTAGTCTTCTGGAAACTGGAATTTCACAAATAACCTTACACGTCACATCCTCACTATTTTACCATGAACTAACCTGATCCTTCAATGAAGAATCCTAGTAACCTATAAGCTTCCCAACCATGTTGTCTGAAGCACTGTTACCCAAGATGCCAGATAGTTTCCTTCCTGAAATATCCACTGAGGATAATCCTTACAATCTGGTTTCAAAGAATCTTTACTGAATGTTCAGCGTTGTTTTATGTTTTTATGGTATTTATGAGAGTTTCACAAATCACTGAAGCTGTTGGTAAGTATGGACCATTTCGTCAAAGAATGGTCATAAATAACTGGACAGAAAGTATATTTTAGATGTGAAAACAAATAACTTTATCTCCATACAATAAATGTTTTGCCTATATAAACGAACAAGATTCATGAGTAAAATCCCTATAACTGTGACACTAGAAGATACAGAATCACTGTTAGGAGCTTAGAATGGATCCTAAACAGTATGTGAGAATAACTGTGATGCAAAGATCCAGTTTTGATACAGGAAATTACTGGAGCATCACACAGTAAATTAAATGTTACATTTTGCTAGATCATGACATGAATCAACTGCTATGGACCATTTCTACAACTCTGCAAAGATGAAGAAGGGCCTCTAAAGAAATCAGAACTGAAAAACAACAATCACAGATATTCTGTACAATTCAGAGTTTCAAAAGCCTGCCATAAGCAGACACTCATATGTTATCCAACTCAGTTCAAATGCAAACAAATGTAATAAAACCTAGCTACAAAATCCTTGAATCTACTCCTTTGTTCTGAGGAGGAAGAGGCGGTGCTACAACACAGCAGCTACCAAATGTGGGTTTTCCATGCTCATCAGTAAGAGGTACAGAATATGATTTCCTGAATTCTTCTTTGAACTGGAACCAAGTCAAATTGGATAGATTTTAAATGAAAAGTAGATGGATCCCCCCCCCCCGCCCTATTTTTAAACCCAAGCTCACAGCTACTAATCATCTTCCAAGATGCTGCTAATCATCTTCAAGAATGAAGCGAGGAAGAATGAAACAATAGTCTACTGGGATTCTGAAAGATGTTGTATAGTGTGGCACGATGTAGTAAATAGAAATATTCTCTATAGCCCATGTTCACCTTTGAATGAACCCAATCCACTCTCACAAGACTTCTGTCTGCTTTCTTATTGCAAAAAGAAATCATACTTTCTCTCTGTGTTGCTCTCTAAGTGCTCTGTACTATGAAAGAGAAACAAAATTGGAAAGCAGAAACAAAAAAAACAAAAAAAGACTGTAGTTTCAATCCAATATAATAAAATACATCAATGCAAATATTTTGGCAGGCTTACAGTATCTGGGTTTCCATGACCTTCACAATCAAAGGCAACATGATTTCACCATTATTAGCTAGAAAGCACGAATGGAAGATGTTATCATCATCATATCCTGCTTGTGAAATTCCTGGATATATTTGTAGTCCAGACTTCTGGATTATATATACTTTTGGCTTGACCCAACAAAGTTCTCTGTATTATTACTGATAAAATTCAAAATGATTTCCAAAGTAGAACAGGCTTTGGAGTATCTAGTAGATGATGACTTTGACTTACCACATGATCATAATTACTAATTTCATGACAATCTCATTCAAGATATTGAAAAAATCCACCATCATCTTGGCTTGTTCTCCCATCTTGCCCATTGCGATACCAAAAGCAATGAAAAACCCAATGAGGCCTGTTGAAAGAATACTACCATCAGACTCTTTTATGAAACTTTTCTTAAAATTGTGAAATTTTCTGAAGGGGAATTCTTCTACCTCAATTTAGCATTACGAAAAAATTGTGATTTTGTAGAGGATGGGGCACAATTAAAAAGGAGAATTGGGGACAAAACCAAGATAGCGATAGCTCAAACAAGTAAGATTTATTTTGATTTTGCATTATCATCGTAATTCTTCTTCCCCTAAATACCTAGGCTTTCTTGAACATTCCCTGACCCACATGAGAGACTTCCTTGGGTCATAGAGGAGAGCCTTTATTGCATGGAAGCTCATATGGGTTCCAATAACTGTTATTATTCCCATGGCTTAATTTTAGGTTGTTTTTTTTAATGAAACTTCATACTGCAGAATTTTGTAGACTTTGTTATTTTTCATCTGGATTATTCCTATGTATATTCCAGCACAATAATTTTGTCTTTTTTTCCTTAGACATATATTAATAAGATTTGTTATTGTTAATGATCTGTTTAAAAATACATTCATTGACTATCCTTAGATAAATCTGATACATTGTGTGTGTGTGTGTGTGTGTGGTTTTTTTTTTTTTGCTTGGCAAGGTTTTTCAGAAGTGGTTTGCCAATCAATGCCTCCTTCATAGTGCTGATAGAAAGTTATTGGCCCAAGGTAAACCCAACTGGCTTCAGGCTGGATTAGAAATCACAGTCGCCTTATTCATAGCTTCATGACTTAATCCAGGGGTGTCAAACTCACATCGTCACGTGATGTTTTGGGACATTTTCCCCCTTCATTAAACTGGGCATGGGTGTGGCCAGCGCATGACACATCTCACCCACGGACCAGGAATTTGACACCTCTAGTTTAATCACTCCTGTAGAATAAAATATATAGCATATAATTAAATAAACAGTGTGCACTCGGTGGCATCCTGTACTTCAGACCTTGGTTATGGGAGGTTTGGGTGATGTAGGATTTGAGATACTATTTTGAAGAAAGTCAGCTCTAATTGGCCAAACATTCACAGATGGTGGAGTTGAGAGAGTATCTTTGCTCTGTGGCTCTTAGTTTAGTTTCTCAACTTATTAACATCTGATGCAGGAGCTCATAAGCATTTGGATCTGAGCTACAAGAAACTGACTCTGAAACTAATTATTTTCCAATGATATCAAGGTGTTTACAAAATTCTTAAACAACACAAAAACTAAGAATGGAACTGATGAGTCCTCCCACTGCTCTCCCTGCATTCGTAAATATACTCCAAAAATGTGATATTTCTAGAGCAGATTTGGAAATACAGAGAGTTGCAAAGACATTCTATTTCAGGTTTAAGTTCCTTGCTTAATCTTCATTCTGATGTAACTGAATTGAGTCTTGGTTTCAGAGATTTGCAGAATTATTAGCAGAAAATAATTGTCTAAGAAAGAACATTCTTGGCCTCTGGTAAGATATTAGGGAGATCAAAGCTTGAAAATAAGTCTAATCTATTAAGATGTGCTTGAGAATAAGTGAAATCCTTTAAGTGGAAGCTAGCTAATATTTTGTCCAGTGGGATAAAGTTCCATTTCTGATGTCAGCAACTAAATATTCAATCAGTAGCCTCAATCGTCTTAAAAACATCAGCTTTGTCTCTTAGATGCTAGTTAGAAAAACGTGATTAGAGCCCAAAGGTAACATTTAGCCTATTCAGATTCCCTTGGCAGGATTTCACAATACCTGGCCTTTAATAGATACATTAGAATATACATGTTACACTTCTAAAAAAACATATTATAGTTTGGATTCAAATGCCTTCTCGTTAATGGATTTGTGTGATTTACCCAGTTCAGAAGGACATTCTATAACCCTTTCCTTTAATAGAACAGCTGATAACTGTCTGCTATTATTCAACACTGTTACTTCTCAGCAGCAATTCCATTTTTCTCTGCAGATGTGCCTGAAACTAGTTACAAAAATGGCATCACAACTGATATTCTGATATAAAAATAACATTAAAATCCAACTTTTGTTTAACTGTGCGCTTATGCATGCAAAACTAACTTACAGAAATGAATAGGTCTTTCTCTCTATACCAGGAGTGTCAAACTGGCACACCCTTGGGCCGGTTGGATCACGTACAGACCACGCCCACCCCAGCTCCATGAATGGGGAAAACGCCAGGAAACATCACATGATAGCAATGTGATGCCGCGAGTTTGACATCTGTGCTCTATAATCTCCACAGGTAACTAGTGTGAAGTACCTGTAACTGCAACTGTTCATATGCAATTGGGCATTTGTCAAAAATTAAGTGAAACCAATGTGTTTCCTTCTGTAAATATACACCTGAAGGAAGTTTCAAATTTAACCTAAACTGCCTAGATTCAAATTGGCATAAGGTAACTACATTGGAATAGATTAAGGATCTATTAGGTTTATAAACAAATAATTTTGGGGTTTTTTTTGAATGACAGAACATGCCTGTGAAATAAATTTAATAGGTGACTGAAGAGAAAGAGAATACCTAAGACATTCATTCCATCCTTAAACTCAAGACCCTTCTTAACAATTAATTGAGGCTCTGGAGTAACTTCTGTTTCATTCACGATGGTGAAGATAGAATCTGTAACATTAGATGGCTCTTCCATTTCTTGTGGCATGAGGACCTTTTTGGTAACTGTTTGAATCTGAAAGAATAAAATGCAGAATGAAAATGCAACTGGGAAAATTGCCTTTTAGGTACTGTTTTTCAAACTTCATACTAGGGATTAGCCTTAAAATTCATGGATCTAGCATTGCAAAACACCAATAACTATCTGTTCCACTTGCATTTTTTAAAAGACATATGAGATCTAGAAAATTAAATGAAATAAAGATATATATGATTTCTGCAGATATTGGAGATATTTCTTCAAATTTGGAGATGCTTCTTTAGAACAAAATAATAGTCATTCCCAAATCAGGTTGGAATTATGTGGTAGCAAATCCGAGTAAAAGCCACTTCCATATTTGTTTACAGGGACATCACCCCACAAAAAGTTATTTAGATAGCTTGCAGAATAAAAGGATCAATATTTTAAATTTATGTTAAAAGTTTAAAAAAATTAAAAAGGTTGAAAGATTTTATATCTATATATCCTTGAGTCAATATGGGTATGGAGGTTCTATCAATGGAAGCTTTCCAAAAATGTCCAATCTCTATTTTCTAGGTTCTTCATTGTATAGAAAAACTTCCACTGGATAGAAGATCTTCAGAATTATACTCTTTATACCAGAAGAAACACAAAGAGAGAAGAGAATTATTGTGTAGCAGTTCTTTTCTCTTCCTTTCCTGGTTATGTTAGAGTGAGTGAAAGCTAAAATGTCAGTAACATCTTGAATGCACTTGCTTTTGTTCACTACACATTTTATATCCCATATTCTAGCTAGTAGTCCTTGAAGGTCCCAGGAGGTGTGCCTTCTTTTCCACAATGCCTGACATGTGAAATCCCAGAAGTGAGATTAGCTCCATCCCTCTCAACATTCTGTAACTCTTTCAAGACCTGGCTATGTTATCAGGCTTCGGAGTCCTAAGGGACCTGGGAGATTTTGCTATGGCTCCCTGACTGTGGTAAATATCACTCTCTCCTGACTTATATGCATTTTTATAATTATTTTATCATTGTAACTGCTTTTATGTAGGCATTGGTTTTTTAAAATTTAGCGCTGTACACCGCCCAGCGCCATTTTCATGTAAGGTTGACGGGTATACAAATATGATAAATAAATAAAGCAATGGTACATCTGTGTTTACTTTGCATTACTTTTAAAGAAACCCCCAAAGTCTCTCAATACTGTTCATATAATTCATGTTGATAAGATGGGAGCTATTTTTGCAGACTTTTATGAATCAGAACATAAACACCATTTGAGGGCTTCTAAAGATTACAACACTGATTCTCCTTCTGTTATTGAAGTTTTTCTTCAACTATTGTTAAAACCAAAAGTGTGGTCAAACTGAAAGTGAAAAAGCAGCCTCAAGTTACTCTTGACCCCTTATCACGACATGGGCATAACTGTGAGAGATGGTGCCTACAGAGGAGGAACTGTGTATGAGGGGCTATAGTGAAATGACAGGTTTCTCAGGAAGGAGGAAGCACTTCCCAGAAAGAGGAGGAGACAAGATAGCCCAAGACAGCCCATCCCAGTGGTGAATAGGAGACAGGAAAAGAGTAAAGCTAGCCACTCCCTAGCATCTTCCAGAGCATATGTATATGCTGGGAGAACTAAGGTGTTCTGACCCAGCTCCCCAAACACGACAAATCCTCTGTAGTTAAATTAATGATTCCTTTATTAGGAGCCCCAGCAGCCCCAGCAAAAAGATTCTTTCTTACCATGGGATAGCAAGTCTGTCCAGCAGGGAGATGAATAGTTGTTTGCCACATCTATTCATCTCCGCCCTGTTAAGTTTGAGCAATGAGAGGCTGAACCAGAGCATGAGTGCAACAGTACTTTATTTTACAAATAAAGGGCTGACCGTGCTTGCCAAGCCTAGAACTGGCTCGCAGCAATCAGCAGCCAGTTGGACCCCGCAGCCTGCTTTTATATCTGGCTGCTGGGGAGAACTGACCAATGGGAATGGGGGAATAACGCCCACACAAAGTGAGTGGACCTGAGTGAGAACTCCTTGAGTCCTCAGGACATAACACCCCTTCCCCCCAGATGCGAACACGCATAGTCCTTGAGGTAGCTGGGGGGTTTGTGTTGGCGCCCGGAGCGGCGCAACTCGGGAACATTGTCTGACTGTTCGGTATCAGTCTGTGATGGTTGAGCTGGCATAGTGTCGCCAACACTCTCTCTGGACTGGGCATCCTCGGAAACCACCGGGTTGGTTTCTGGAGTCAAACTCTCGTGGGTTGGATCCGGTTGATCAACTCTCTGGGCGCTGTTGTCCGGGTTTGGGCTGACCGGAACGACCGCTGGCGCAGACTGGTCACTGGGTGCGATGTGGCTGGGTGGCGGATGGGATGGTTCCCCTTCGACTGGAGACTCTGGATTCTTGTTTGCGAGGTTGCTGAGGTGCCTTCTGAGTTGGTCTATGTGTCTCCTCCAGACGCGACCATCCTCCAGCCTGACTCTATATGATCTCGGCCCGGTGACGGCGATGACCTCGCCCGGAATCCAAAGTGGGTCCCCAGCGAAATTCCTTGTGAATATCGGCTCCTGTAACATAAAATGTCTAACCCCCGAAGTGGAAGCGAGGGGAGAGTCAGGGCAGTATTGTGGGTGCAGTCTATCTAATACAGTCCTCAGGCGCCGGCCCATCAGAAGTTCCGCTGGGGACTTATTGGTGACTGCACAGGGGGTTGAGTGCTGGCTCATCAGGAACCGTGAGAGTTTGTGGTGCCAGTCATCTCTGCCAAACCTAGCGAGGGCCTCTTTGGTGGTCCTGACGGCCCTTTCAGCCAACCCATTACTCGCAGGGTGAAATGGGGCTGTGAAAATGTGGCGAATGCCTAGGTTGGCTGCAAAACGGCTGAATTCTACTGATGCGAACTGTGGGCCATTATCGGAGACCAAGGAGTCGGGTAGTCCATGGGTAACGAACAGGCGCGTTAACACGTTGGTGATTGCTAGTGTGGTGGTCGTGGATAGCTGCGCCACGTCTATCCACTTGGAATAAGCGTCCACGACCACTAGGAACATCTTTCCATGCACGGGGCCGGCCAGATCGATATGGATTCTAGACCAAGGGGCGCTGGCGCTCTCCCATCTGGTAGGGGTGGCGATGGGGGGAGCAGGACGGGATTCCTGGCAAATGCTGCAGGAACTTACCCAATTGACAATGTCCTCGTCTAGACCCGGCCACCACACGTAGCTGCGTGCCAACGCCTTCATTCTCACAATGCCGGGGTGTCCCTCGTGCAACGCCTCCAGGACTCGGGTACGCAGCGAGGTCGGAATGATCACTCGAGTGCCCCACAGTAGACAACCCTGCAAACTGGACAGCTCCTGCATGCAAGTCTTAAAGGGTGCGAATTTGTTATCAACATTGCCTCCCGGCCACCCCCTCCTCACCCAGTCGAGCACCTGGGCGAGCGTTTGGTCTGCCTTGGTTTTGGCGGCGATGTCAAGGGCGGTGATGGGCAGGTCCAACTGGGTGATTTCAAAAATGGCATTGACAGGAGCTGGGTCTTCAGCCGGAGCGGGTAAGGGGCAGCGACTGAGTGCGTCAGCGTGGGATAGAGTTTTGCCTGGGCGGTGGATAAGTTTGTATGAGTAGGCCGCTAGGAAAAGCGTCCACCTTGTCATCCGAGGGGAGAGGACTTGAGGTGTCTGTTTGTCGCCGGCCAGTAGGCCCAGGAGGGGCTTATGGTCGGTGACCAGTTCGAAGAAGTGGCCAAAAAGGAATTCGTGAAACTTTTTCACAGCTGCAACAGCTGCTAGGGCTTCCTTGTCTATTTGGCTGTAATTTCGCTCCGTGGCCGAGAGCGTCCTGGAGAAAAAGGCGATGGGGGCCTCGGCGCCATTGGCGAGTCGGTGACTAAGGACCGCCCCAATTCCAAAAGGGGATGCGTCTGCTGCCAGTACTAAAGGAAGGTTGGGGTCGAATTGGATGAGCACTGCCTCTGACGTAAGTAGTGATTTGACGGCGTTAAACGCCTGGTCTTCTTTGTGCCCCCAGTGCCACGGTGACTTTTTGTCTAGTAATCTGTGTAGGGGTTCGGCTACTGAGGCTTTATGGGGCAAAAAGGATGCATAAAAGTTTAGGAGTCCCAAGAAAGCTTGTAGCTCCGTTTTGGAGGTCGGTGTGGGAGCTTCGTGGATCGCCCTGACCTTGGACTCCAGGGGGTGAATGCCAGAGGCGTCAATTTTATAACCCAGAAAGTCCACCTGTCTAGTGGCAATGGCGCATTTTTCTTTTTTTAACTTGAGGCCATGCTGTCTGAACCTCTCTAACACTGCTCGCACTCTCTGGAAGAGTTGGGGTCTGTCCCTGGCCGAGACCAAGATGTCGTCGAAGTAGGGTACTACACCAGGGAGGCCCTGTAAAATCCGCTCCATGAGGGATTGAAAAATACCCGGGGCAACACTTACGCCAAATTGGAGACGCTTGCATCGGAAGGCACCCCTGTGAGTGACGATGGTCTGAAGTTCCGCTGTTTGGTTATCAACAGGGAACTGTTGATATGCTTGAGACATGTCCAATTTAGCAAAAATACTGCCCGGTTCGAATGTGTGCAATAAGTGCTGAATGACGGGCACGGGATAGGCGCTAACTTGTAAATATTTATTGATTGTTGTCTTGTAGTCCGAGCAAATTCTCAGGCTACCATCTTTTTTGAGGGGTGTGACAATGGGCGTCTCCCACTTGGCGAAATCTGTTGGCTCAATGACCCCTTGTTTTAGTAGTTTATCCAATTCAGCGTCTAGTTTTGGTCGAATAGCAAATGGAACTCTACGTGGTTTTAATCTGATTGGGACTGCCTGGGGGTCAATGGTGAACGAGATGGGGGTTCCATTATAACACCCCAGCTCCTCGCTGAACACATCTACGTAGTCAGCGAATAAGGAGTCAGTGTCTGAGGTTGAGACAGCATGGACTCCTGTTAACCCTAGGCCGAGGTGGGGAAATCAATCGAGCCCCAATAAGGTGGGTAGATTGCCGTTAACTACCACTAGAGGTAGGTGGCCTTTAAAAGCTCTA